AAAATTACGAAGCATTTAGTTCTGAGAAACCTTTTAAATTAAAAAAACAGTTCAGTCAGATATATTTATATTAACAACAATATATCTTTCTCAAAAGCAGTTTTCAAATGTTAAACATTACTAAGCATGATTTTTGGCATACGACACAGACAGATATCATATGTCACGCCCTCGGATCGGTGCTTTTTCTAGGCAATGCATTGAGTTACGAAAGGTAGATAGCTCATAGTGACTGTTTGCTCGTTTTTAAATCTACTGAAAAACTGATATCCATTTAGCTACTCTTGTAAACTGCAGATATATAATCTGTAGCATAACGCTTTGATATGCTGTATCACAAAATGGACTCAGAAGCTACTAAATGGAGGCGATAAGCATCAAACAACCAACCTCATCGGCAGATTCCTTGGATACATTTAGCTCTACCAGAAAAATATAATTATTCGGCTTTTACACACTGAGGCATAGAAAACGCACCTCTATTACTGCTGAAAATTCTGGATATAAATCAACAGAGAAGACAAAAAATTTTTGCCACAGCAATGGCGTAAAGTTGTATGGCAGGGCAAGTGCAATTCTGCAGATTATCAGTTTTAGATAACATGACAGAAAGATTTTCTCGGAAACTCGAAAGAACAACTTACCGTCCTCCGACTGAAGAACAGTCGTCAGCTGAATAACCTCGTCCGATTTGGGCTCAAAGCCCAACGCCCTTAATACAAGCTGAAATCCTCATTAAACAGTTCGTTGCATAAAATTGTCCTTTACCTTGAGATTGCTCACATCGATTCGGCCATCAGCATCTGGGCCGTACACTGCAAACACCTTTTCAATCTCTTGTATCTGTTCTGATGTAAGCTTCACCTCCTTTACACAAAACCGACTGTTTTTCTTGCTCATTTCCTACAAATAGCATACAGTAAAAAAAATGATCTGCAAGTTCTATACGCACAATAAGACTTTCACAGAAAATATTTGTGAAACTGGCTACAAAACGCTTTGATTTTAAAGTCAAACTTTGCTGATTTATAAACGTTCAGATAATAATTATAAGTCTTGTAGCCAATTTTTGCCGTTGACGGTCCCAAGCAAAGATTAGAGAGGAGAAGGATTGGACACCGTGGCAAGTCTCCTCAAAATTTAGACACTTGCAACTCATGCTATTGACACCATCGAAAATCATACCGGCTCGGTCGT